GTGTGCATAATGCCACTGAACTGTACACCTGAAAATGGTAAATTTTATGTTATGTATATTTACCACAAGAAAAGAACCTATGGAGTGCATCGATTTTACTTGTCAAGTCCGAGCTACACGTTCCTGCCTGCTCTTTGCCTCTTTCTCAAGCGTTGCTGTAGACATTGGCCTCCTTTAGGAAAACGTGTGGGTATGAGGCGAGGTCCCAGGTGCACAGAACTGCACAGAACGTGTGGGAAAGAAACGCAATAAATCAGAATTGCCTGTAAACGCTTTGTACTTTGCCCTCCTAGAACTGAAAGCCTACAGCGTTAACACCCGTGGAACAGGACTCTCTGCAAGGACGAGGGACCAGAGGGCCCCTCGGCCCCTCTGCTTCTGCAAGCGCCCTGACTCCGAGAAGCTGTGCTCATGGGATGCGGTCTCCCCTCCCCTCCCGGGGACCCAGCCCCACCGCCCACAGAGAGGCTGCCCCTCACAGGGCAGCCCCCGAGTCCCCTGGTCTCTGCACAGCAGAGCACCCACAGGGCCCAGGGTCCCAGGGGGCTCTGGGGAAGGCTGGCTTGCAGGGGGTTCAGCCGAGTATTTTCAGAGGAAACAGCAAGATTAAAGATGTGGCAGGAGCAGAAGGTAAGCAGGAATTTTTTATAGTGAGTCAAAGTATTGATTCAAAAAGCACTAATTTGGAGACTTTTGTAGCTTTCTCAGAATGACATGCCTCCTTGTTCGACGTCTCCAGTTTCTTCTCCCTGCCTTCAAAGGCCTGTCAGGAGGCTGGAGAGGATAAAAGGAAAAGTGCTTAGAGAGAAGGAAAACAGTAGCAAAGAATGAAGTTTTGAAAGTGCCGAAGAGGCTGGAGAAAGGAGGTTTGGGGATGATACGCTGCCTTCCGTTCGGGGAAGCAGTGTGATGACGCAATACGAAGCATTGCTAATGAGCAGAGCCTAGCCCACTCTTTCCGGCTCTGAAACCGTGTGGTGCCTGCAAGACGTGGTTTGAAGGAAGGCGAGGATCCAGGTCAGCCAGGTCCTCTCCAGATAGGCAGATATTTCTAGAACACCCACAGGTACCCTGCGCAGGAAAGGAACAGGTGAGAAGGGATGAATGGCCCCGAGTTTCTCATCATCACCACTGGAAAACCAAATCAAAATGCCCACAGTCTTCAGAAATGTGAGGGAGGAAACGTGGTCCTGCTAAGAAGAAGGGGAGCCAAAGCAACCAGGGAGAACCCTTCCACAGCCATTGAAAACAGTCATGCAGCTTCTTGAGATGTGTTTTTAAATGTGACAGCTGGTAAGTGTCCTAGACTCTGCTTGTCCCAGGCCAGAGATTTCTTTCAGGGCACGTCAAGCTTCGGCAACAAAGGTGGAGTGAGAGAGAGTAAGTGAGTTAGCACGATCTCAGTGGAGTTGGGGGGAACCTGTCTCAGCTAGCAATCACACAGCAAGTGGGTGGCTGCATATTTTCTGTCCTGGCCCTGAGCAAGGGGCATTCTCTTAGGGCTGTGAGAGGGAGGGAGCAAGGAGTGGTCAGAGGGGGCGCTTCCCAACGAAACGGGGACAAAGTGGCACTTCTTCGGCCAGGACAGGCAGCTGAAGGGCCAGGGCGCGGTGCTTCTGGACCACCAGTCGGGAGTTTGGTAAACGGGCTGGTGACAGTTGGTGTTAAGGAATCGGAGTTAGAAGGACAGAAGTCGTACCTCCGTGTCTATTATGCAAAAGTGATTGGTCAGCAGGCCATTATTTTATGTAAAGATGATCCTTTGTAGAAAAACTGACTCAACGCCCTGCAGCTCAGAGGAGCTTGCTGGAGGAAAGACCTTCTGTAGGCATCACACTCCAGCCAAGGCCCCTGGGAACCAACTGGTAACGGCCTCCGCAACGATAGACTTAGAAGCTATCCTCAAGCTTTTGGGGTGCATCGGAAATCATGGGGGTTGGGGGCAGCCTCAGCCCCAGAGACCCTGATTCCAGACCCAGGAATTTTCACTTTGAAGAAGCCTCCAGATGATTCTGGGACGACTCCCAGAGAATCACTACTCCACAGTTTTCTGTCAACCCATCTCGTTCAGATGGAACTGCCATGGTGGCAGAGGTTCCAATGTCTCTGTCAGCAGAATTTTGTGACTGAGACCCTGCTTTGCGCCAGACTGGGTCCAAAGTAGAATTCTTCCCTCCAGGATTGTCTGGGGCCAGTTCTCCTTCGTAGTTGCAGTATGAGTGGCTTTTGTAGAAGTTTTAATAGTGATCGAGTCATACTCGTAACCAGCTACACTTTCAGCGTGACTTCTATGAGCCAGGCCTTACTCTTGACACGAGAGAAAGAGTTCTTTCAGTTGCAAACTGAAAAGATGAGAGAAAAACTGACTTTGGGGAGTTTAAAAAATAGCAGTAAGTAGAGATGCTTTTTATGCCTATCAAGGAATGAATGCCTTTTCCCAGCTCTGCTCCAGCCAGCCCCACAAAGGGCCACATCCAACAGACCCCACCGGCCTCCACCTGCTTCTGCTCTGTCCTGCTCTTTGGGGAGCCCTCTTCAGCAGCATGCGTCAGAAAATGGATGAAAACGCAGGTATTTTTACAGGGAAACATTTGCATCTGTGCATGAATCTACGCTGCCAAGTTCACAGACTCTTTCACCTACTTTATCTCATTCAGTTCCCTGAAGAACATTTATGTCACATTTTGCAGGTGAGAAAATTGAGGCAGAAGGTAATTGCCTCACCTAAAGTTACACAACTAGTTAACATGAGAACCAGAACCTTAACCCCAGGCTTCTGGCTCCAAGTTCGGGAGCCTTCCAATAAGCACATACTTTCATTCAAATGCCAGGTCAATTTGTATATCCTGACACACAGCAATAAAATAAAGCTGGGCCTAAAGAGAGAAAATAATTTAAAGCGGCTAAGAGAAAATTCACTCCTCTTGTGAAAACCTATCCAGATGACAAGCTGCTTTGGAACAACATAAAAATGAACAGTGGGGTGTTTCTCACAGTGCTTTTCTCCAGAAAGTTCTCTAAATGTGCTTTGTTTCCTTGTTCTCCAGAAATGTGCTGACCAATCACCTTGCAGTTGCCAAGGCAGTTGTCATTTCCATTAAGCATATCCCTTTCCATAAAACGACTTGGTAAATGCTTTAATTGTGTACTTTTCAAGTTAATACATCTTGAACATCAGAACTGACCATTTGTCCTGACTCTTGCTTCATAACTACAATGCATTCCATTCCTCCTCTCAGGTTTCTATTGGGGAAAATAAAGGACAAAGCAATCAAGTGAGCCCAAATACCCCAGTTTAGTTTCTTAACCACGAAGTGCCACAAGCATCTCCCTGATCCCTGCACACAGCCCTGGCTACAGTGTCTTTCTGAAGCATTGAGCTCAGGGCACTGAGAGCAAACAGACACTGCAGGAAAGCAGCTGCGCACAGAGGCCTTCACAGGGTCAGAGCCTCCCAACGCGCGGAGGCACAGATGCTAGCTGGGCGTCCGCGCTGTCTGCACTGGGAAGCGGGCCCTAGGAGGTGAGGGAGAGACCGTTCCCGCAGGCACCCCTCCCACCGGCTCAGACTTACTGGGGAGCAGCTGGCTGCCTTCTTCACGGCCAATGCCATTACCAGCAGCTCTGCCCAGGAGGCACCTTGGGCACTCACAGGTAAGTGGGAGTTGGAGACCCTGGCAGTTCCGGCATTGCTCCGCTCACAGCCTAGCAGGCTCTCTGCCACGCACCCCGGCACTGCTGAACCCACTGCTCTCAGGGAGGGTCAAGGACAGCATCCAGGGCAGGGCAGTCCTCTTAGTCAGCCCAGGTTGCTATAACAAAATACCATAGACTCGTGGGAAATACAGGGGATGCTGGCAGTTTTAGAAGAGGAAAGGGAGAGAGGCTGAACCCAGAGCACCATGAGGAAGAAGCAGAGAGAAGGGGGCGCCTGGAGACTTCTCCCAAAGACAGGAAGAAAAACTGGAACTCCTCACCCATCAGGTGCCCCACCAAGGGACTCAAAGTGGGCCCAGCAAATGCATCGGCTCTTAACATTTTCCCATGGGATTTCTCATGAAGCTTCACTTCAGCGATCTTTAAGAGGAATGAAATACAGTCCACTGGAAAAACACAAGGAGTAAGATTGAGGCCAAAGTCAAGAATCAACGTCTTCAACACAGATTTCAGGACCCAAAAGGTGGGAGAAATCACGTATGTTACAGAGCCAGAGTGGCGTTTTTCCCCTACACTGCAGTTACTAGCACAGTAAATGTTACAGTTTCTTTATGTTCCTTGGTTTCAGAAATTTCCAGCCTAACTCTCCCACCCCAGCTGCTCAAAAAACAGCTTCCAAATCAAGTTTTTAAAATAGCTGCTCTTCCAATAATTTAAGTTAAAATGCTAGGCGTTTGTCCTGGGTGTTCCCAGATGGCTGGTGCCGAACATGGGGGCAGACCCATGGGAGGCAAGCCTAGAGGACTTCTTGGAGGTGGCACATCTGTGAACTGCTTACTGCTCACTTCCTGTGAGGAGATAAGAACTGAGAGGAGGGTTAGAAACATTTGTGGCCACTTGACATCGTCCACGCCTCGTGGAACAGTTCAGGCATCATGCGGTCATAGCATGTGGCCTGAGCTGCCTACAATTTCTGTGCAGTTAAGGTTTGTCACCTGTAATCCAACAGGGCATAAAATCTGGAATCATTTCATCAAAAGATCATTTTAACTGTAATTTATTAAGATAAATTGTGAAAATTGACTTCTGATGAGGGTTCATAAATGAATAAAGCACTTACTTGCTTTAATTTGGATAAAACTTTAAAAGGAATAAACCGTGCTTGCTGAGCTCACTTTATAATCTCTTCGAGTCCCGTCCACACAGCACTGAGCGTGTTTTGTCTACTATGCATGTTATTAAAACAAAACATAGAAATATTTAGGGAGACATTTTCCCCTACAAATAAGGTGGTTGTTTAATCAGATAAGCAAGAAACAATCTCACTTGTCACATTGAAAATATTAAATACAGATACAGTGTTTGTTTATTGTATTATATAAAAGTATTATTTTGCAAGGGTTTGAAAATTGAAACAAAAAACAAAAAACAAAAACTGAACTTCACCACAGTCTAAGAGATACTGCCACAGAGGGAATTCTCCAGGCGGGATGGGAAAGGGGCGTGGTGTGTGTCTGTGTGTGTTTGTGTGTGAGATGGGTGGTCAGACGCAGGGGAAGGAATAAACTGCAATTTTCAATAATAAAAACACTATTGTGTTGGGTAATTACATATTGCACAGCCTCCATGACAAACAGAAACATTTGTTTCCATTCTGGTTGAAGTGAAAAGGAACCTTTTCCCTCCGCTGCCTGGGCGGTTAGCTCAAAGGCCAAGGAAGGGCTGTAACCCCAGGGCAACCACAGGAGACCCATGTGCCCTCACAATGCAAAAGACGACTGTTTTGAGGGCACAGACCGCAAAGCCCCTGCGCCTCCCTCCCTGGCCGTCTATTTCTCACTGTCTTCGTGGGAACCTTTGGCTCAGAAAGAGAACCTGCCCCGAGGGCCCAGAGGCTCGTTAAGACCCTCCCCACTGCAGACACAACTTCGAATAGCACAGCTCGGGTGCAACAAGCCTCTGTTCCGCAGCCAATTCTCTTTTTCTTTTAGAATCTGCTAATCCAGGGCCTGTGCTCAAACTTTAGTTTTAGTTTACTTCTGCCACAAAAGTGACAGACGTGGATTTTTACTGCCTGCTAGGCAGAGTGGGTCATTCATATATTTGATTAGAGGAGGCCATTGATGAAATTCAGTCATGTGGAAAATGCCAGTGGCGATGGGGGAGGTCCTTCCAACCAGAGTGTGGGGAGTCACAGAGTTAGAACTGGGGGGCCTTAGACTACACCCCCCAACACGTCCTTCTGCAGGGTGAGTGGAAGTGCAGCTGAACCAGCATACATAGGCAATTGCTCTTTGTCTGCATCAGAAGGGGTTTGGGCAAGGAAAAAAGAAATACTTGGAATTTGTCAATTTGTGATATTTTAAAACTTCAGATGAATTTGTCTTCTCCTGTTTGTAAACCATCAACAGAATCCCTAATCCTCTCTTGGCGTCTTTCTGGGTTTACCTTGAGGGTGGCCTGTGGTGGTTTGCTGAGCTCTCACCCTCCCCAGATGTGGACTAGGGCTGTGTCCCCCCCAAGGTGGACAGACCTCTGGCCGGCTCCACGTGCCCGACCCGGGGAGTGACCAGCATGCGGTTTCCTCCCGTTTGCTCTCTTGCAGCAGAGCCGCAGCATCGGGAACGCCCTGGAACCAATTCTGCCAACAGGTGACACGGGGCCTGCGGCCTGGTCTTCACTGGAGCGGCAGAGAGGCGCTGGGCCACAGACAGGCACTGAGCACAGGCCACCTGGCCCTGGCTCTGCCTTGAATTCACCAAGCCTGCAACCCCTGCTCCCAGGGAGGATGTACTGTGATAAGAGATGAAGTGCTCCCTAAAAGCGATGTTACAATCCGTAAAATCCATTCATTCCTCAGAATGAAAAACACTGTAAACTGTGCTTTCACACCCTTGCCAGTACAAACTACAGTTCCCAGAGATGAGACGGGTTTTTTATTGTTTTCATTTCCAAAAGCAAGATGACTCTTCTCTGCTAGCGAGGCCCGCGGTGCCAGTGGCTACGCCAGAGAAGGCACCTTCCCCGCCCGGAGGCGCACAGGGCCCACACCCTCACCCGCTCACACACGCGTGCACACACGTCCACACACCTGCGCAACTTTCACGGCCACGTGCGCATTCACCCTCGCGCATGCGCGTGTGCGCGCACGCAGGTGCGCTCTGTGACGTGGTGACGTCTGCAGGGCGCCGGCAGGGCTCTTGCTCCAGCACAGCGGAGCCTCCTTCCGAGAACCCGGCGCCGGGACCCCCTCCCTTGTGTCACTTCGAAGGGGTGACGGGCGAGGCCCGGAGGGTTCCTCAAAGCAGAGCAGAGGGAGGAGGCAGCTGAGGGACGAACAGCGCCGGGCGGCCCCCTCCGCACACAGTAAGCGTCCCCGAGGCCCTTGTCCGCGCTGCGGACGCGCTCCCTCACCCCGCGGGGGCCGCGGCTACTCGTCCTCCTGCAGCTCCCGCAGCGCGGCCTGGAGGAGGCGCCGCAGCTTCGCGAGCACGCGGGGAGCCGCGCCCTGGGCCCTCGGGGCCGCGCACTCGAGCACCGCCGCCCGCAGCTGCCGCCGCAGCGGGGCCGAGACGGCGGGGCTGCCGCGGGGCGAGGAGAACCAGTGGCGGAGGATCTTGTCGCAGACGACCTGGGGGAGGGCGGGAGGGGGCGGTCAGCTCAGGCCCGGGGGCCTCCTGGAAGGGCCTTTCCTGGACCCTAACCCGCCCAGCGGGGAAAAGGCCACCCCGGGTGTGGTGGAAATGCCGAGGGGGAAGCTCGGGTGACACTCAGAAAGGACTGAGGACACTGCAGCAGAAAGTCACAGGCGGGAGCTGCTGCGTAAGGAGTGGGCCCTGGGCAGGCCCAAGGCTGCCAGCCCCGCCGTCACCGCACCCCTGAGGGCGCACTTTCTTATCCATAGGTTGGTCACGGTGATAGTCATCGCCACCTGGCAGGGTTGTCCTGAGGGCCCCAGGACACGCTGGTGACGAGGGGTATGCAAACGTGATAGTACTTTGAGGCTCACTGAAAAAAAGGTATATTGGAAGGGAAAGGCTGCAGACTCTTTCTGAGGAGCCTTTGAGATGTTTTATTTTAGGAGAAATAAAAATTAAGCCACTATCTCACAGCCTTTAGTTCTCCTTGGGTATGAAATTCACTGAGGCTGAAGATCTCTTTAAATTCTCCATTTAAACACACTGTCTGTTTTACAGCCGTCATGGTTTCCTCCCTGTTGGATGGAGCGCTGCATAATTAATATTCTGCTCCATTTTTCTATGTCACACTTTATATTAGACTCAGTTAACAAATGCCTCAATTTTATAGAGCTACTGTTTCTATAATTTTGACTTGTGTTTCCCAACCTCTGCAAGACTGAGGATTCTGTTTAAAAACAAATTATCTTATTTCTCTTTTGAGTTGATAATACATTTTCAGGGGCAAACATGGAAAATGTCCCAAAAGATAGGCTGTAAGTCTCCATCCCACTCCTCATAACCAGACACTCGGCTCCTGGCTCTGAGAGGCAACCACTCCCTTGAATGTCCTTCTGGAGAGTCTATAAATATACATGAATTTCCTTTTTCTTTTACTTTACATGGATGGGAGTATATTGCACACACTGTTCTGTAGCTTCCATTCCCATTTAATGAAATATAAGGGAGAGCCTTCCAAATCAGTCCTTATAAGGATATTCCATTTGTTTTAATGGCTGTACCTCAAATGCATATCATAAATTATTTAGCTAGTTCCCTATTGGTGGAAATTTAGGTTGTTCACTAACTTTTGCTATTATGAAAAATGCTTCAGTACATACCTTGCAGATATCTTTTTCATTTTGCATATGACTAAATTTCTGGGCCAAGGGGTATGCATATTTTTTGTTTTGATAGATATTGCCAGATTCACCCCATAAAAGTTGTACCGAGTTACACTCTCATAGCAGCGTATGACAAGAATGCCCTCAACAACACGTGTCGTCTTTCTTTTTTGTTAACTGATGAATGAAAATGGTTTAATTTGTATTGCTTTTCGTATCAGTCAGGTTGAAAGTATCTGTGCTTCCTTTCCAGTGAGTGGTCAAGGTGATGTTCTTTGCCCACATTTCCATCAGATTGTTAACTTTTTTCATATTGATATGCAGATGCTCTTTATATATTAAGGACATTAACCCCCTGCTTAGATTGGTTTCCTGGGGAGCAGACTGTAAGGTGGAGGTTTGCATGCAGGGATTTATTGAGGGGCATTCTTAGGAACCATCTTTCCATGGAACTAAGGGAGAAGGAAAACTTCTGGTACTGGAATGGCCTACAGAGTTTTCCTTATAGAGGCCAGGGGGCTGGGCTTTGCATTTCCCCCCTCCCCACTGACCAATCACTAGACGCTGCCCCTGGGATGTGGGGTTACCGTGAGCCAAGGACGATGCTGGGGGATGCCGTGAGTCTCAGCAGCTCTGAGTCTCAGACAAGATAAGGGCTGTCTCTGTCCTCTATGCTCCTCGTCTGTAAGAGCAGTTGCAAATATTTTGCCAATTTTCTCATTTAACCTTTAAATTTGCTCATATTTTTTGTAACTTTGTTTTGTTTTTGCCATGTGGATTTTTTAAAAAATTGTTAAATGTGTCAGTTGTTCCTCTTATAGCCTCTGAACTTTGTTCTGTACTCAGAAAGGCCTTCCGAACTCTAGGGTAGTACTTTAAATTCTCCCAGTTTTTTTCTGGAACATTCAGGATTCCATTTTTTAGGTGTAAGTATTTGAGCCATCTGAAGTTTAGTTTGATATATGGAGTGGACCAGGAGTTAATGTGATCATTTGTTGTTCCTGAATACCCACTTTACCAGCATCACTCACTGTATAACCCAGCTTCCCTCTCACTGGCCTGAGAGGCTGCCTTTATAACATACTGAATACCCATATGTCATTAGGTAGACTTCTGCAATTTTTAAAAATTCTATTCCTTTGATCTGTCAATCAACTGATGCAGGGCAGGGATTTTTTTTTTTTTTTTGAGTAAAAGTGTAAGTTAGAAAAGTAATACATACCACCGTAGAAAATTTATAAAATATAGGGCAAAAGGAAGAAAATAAAAATTATCTGTAATCCTATCATCCGTAAGTAATTGCTTTTGACGTTTTCATATCTTCTTTCCCAATCACGTACTACTTAAGGAAAATGAGATCATGGGTAAATACTGATTTGTAACCTGCATTTTTTCGCTTAATGAATGCTTCATATTTTCTCATATCCTTAAAGGAAGCGAAATTTCGTTTCTAGGTCTTTATTCAAAGGCAATAATCAGAAAAGGTGCACAAATGAAATTGCTCAGCTAAAGAGAGTATTTCCAACAGTCATGCACCCTCCAGAGGGATGTAGAATTTTACAATCACGTTAACAATACAGACTCTTACCTCGATTTCTCTGAAGCCTCACCTGTTAATTAATAGCATTTTAACAACTATTCCCAATAGTTAAAGGTAAAAAATTATTATCACTGGGTTTTAACTTGCATGTCTTTGAATAGTAAGATTAAATATTTTCCAGGTTCTCTGTCCGTCTGCACTTCAGCTCCCGTGTATCTGTCATATGTTCTTCTCTTGCCAGTTTTGTGTGTGTGTACCTCTCACCGCTTAACGGCTCTGTAAGAGCCGTTTATATATTAAGGATACAACCCTAGTCTCCAATTATGCTGCAGAGGGCAGGTGTTAGTGTTTCCACTTTGTGGTTTGAGGTCACAGGGTGGTTGATGCTCTAGTGAAAGCATATTGTTCCCACATCTGGAGAAGAACGATTGCGCTGCAGACCCACCGAGGGTGTGAGTCCACGTTAAGTTGTAGAGGCTGCCGAGCCAGGGCCTTGTTCGGCCTGGTCCAGGCCCGCCAGGTTAACTACACAACTGTCCAGGTCTCCCCAGGTCAGTCCTCTGTGCCGGCGTGACTCAGCCTCAGGCTCTGGCCCCATCACCAGGTGTGCACCGGGGTTATATTGGCCTTATGGGCTGGAGGATTGTACACAGACTCCACAGACTGTGGTGGAGGTGAGATGCGGAGTGGACCGGCTAGGAGAATGGAACACTAGGAAGGCTGAGGCTAGAGCACAGATCAGCGGTGGTGGAGGTGCGCCCAGCTTCCCTGCTATGACCTCTTCCTGGTTGTGGTCAACACCTGTGAGCCCAGCTCATCCACACCCACCTGAGGGCCTGGAGTGAGGGCCGGGAGCAGACAGCGTCTGCCGGAAGAGGGGAGATGTCTTCCCAGTGCAGGGTTCTCCAGCCCCACATCTGGGTCTCCCTCACTCTAGACTGGATCCTAGAGCTGGAAGCCAGGATGGGTTCCTACTTATCACTGGTCTCCTGGATGTGGGACCCAAGCACTTTCTCCTTCTATTAACCACCTGTTGGCCTAACCCCTTGCCTGTCGGATCTGTGGTGTCACCCACCCTCTCTGGTTTGGCCAGTTTTCAGGACTGCTTTGCCCTTTTTCTAGATTTATCCTTGGTGAATCAGTCTCTGGGTGCTCATTCTGGGTGTGTGTGTGTGTGTGTGTGTGTGTGTAGATGTAGAAACTAGACCTAGAGAGAAGGGCTACCCAAGTCCCTATGGCTCTGGGGGACCCAGTAAAGGCTGTGCTGGGAGCACCATCCATTAGCCCCATGGGGTCACTTGGCCGACAACCTCTGGGGTAGACGACTAAGAACAAATGATCCCCGTCTCCCACCATCCCTGCCCTTACTGGACACATCGAGCCCAGGTGACATGGCAAGGGTGATGACCTTCATCTACATCACCGGGATGTCACAGTGTGGCAGGCAGAGGCACCCAGAGAGAACAGGGTCCCCCCCCGCAGAGAGGATAGGGTCCCCCCCCCCCCGAGAGGACAGCAGCATTGCTCACCTGCAGGTTGCTGTTGGTTCTCTGGGCTCCACACCTGTGCACTCGCAAATCACACTTTGAAAAACAGTCAAAGAAATTGCAGTCTTCATCTCCCGTGCAGTTCTGCTCAAGAATTTCCCTCATTTTAGGTTCAAAAAAGGCCATGTCCACGTCAATAGCCACCACCTGTAATTGAAACAGCACACACCTCTCAAGAGGACCCCCAAGGCCACAGCACAGAGGGAGCCCTGCAGTATCACCCCACCCCTGTTCCCCTTTGCAGGTGCAAGTGTCACAGACTTCAGGGGTCACAGAAATCTACCAGCAGGGAAGAGGGGCCAGGTTGTGCTGGGGGCATGCAAGCCACCGGCATAGATGGTATGGCAAGGCTTTAACTGCAAAAAGGACCTTTGTGGTCGCCAGTGAAAGCCTAGAATGTGGAACTAGTATCACTTTTCATCTTTAAAAGTTTTCTCAGATTTAAATTTGAATCTCTGAAATATCTTTAAAATGAATTGGTTTCCCCTTCTGTTGCTTTATCACTTTGGTTTCTGACATTCAAGGCTCAGGAACACAAAAGCTGTGAGACAGATAATCTATCCCTATGAATATAAGCAACAAAAGAAAACTATATTCAAGGGACAGGTGGAGGGTGTGATGGTGAGAGTGGGGTGGGCAGTACGTAGGTCGTCTATTTATGCTGTCTGTTACCTGAGGTGACTGGTTTCCAGCTGTGGGGAGCTGGGGGAGTGCAGGGAGTGGCAAAGCCAAAGTTCTTAAATTAGGGTCGATACATATGGACCCTGGTCCAGCAGCATCAAAAACTAAGTCCCACTACCAGCATGAAAATGTGATGAGCCCCTGGAATTTCAGATTTATCTTCCTAGCGTCAACCCAAATAGACTTCAAAACCAGAAAAAGAATAATGTCTAAATTATGCAGATGTTCCACCACCACCTGAAGTAAAAAAAAAAAAAAAAGATGAGCTCAAACCTGAGAAAACCTGGACTCTGCCCAAATCAAGCAGTGTATAGCTTCAAGGTATTAAAGAGCTATTAGAAGGCTCGATGAGGTTAATGGAGTCTGTGGCATTTCACAAGCCTTCACAGATCAACCTCAAAATATCAGCCTTCTCCCTTTGGTAGCGTCTCAAAAAAGTGTTCATTTACATCTCAGTTCTCTGCAAAGTCAGGAGGCACATTCCCAGGTTGTTGTTTCTGTTTTTTCCTTCAAGATTGATGCCAGAATGCAGTAAAGCTTCTTGGGGATTATTCAGTAAAACAGAGGAGGGAAAAATACTTTATTTCAAAATATGTGGAGAATAATGAAAATAAAGAACAGGGAACTCTTCCCTATTTAACAGCCTTGTCTAATTACTAATCCAGGCTCTGCAAACAGAAATTATCATTTTAATCAATTTTTCCTATCTTATTATTCAGACAAAAGAAATAGCTCATTTCATTACTTATACCGGTTAATACACTAGAAATACATGAGGCTGTGCTAATGAGTCTGTTGTCTTTCATAATTTATTTGGGGGGCTACAAGACACTTCTTTTGATAGTTCCTGGCCATCTCCCCAGCTTCCCCTGGGCCCCTGGTGGAATTTCAGCTCCCTGTTACTTCTGTCTTCTGGCTCTGATTGTTCCCTGTTCATCTCCCAGGAAGAGCCAGGTTTATTTTTTAATTTTAGTGTGTGCTGTAGAATGGATTACAGCTCCTGGAAGCGTAATTCCATGCACCTAAAATAAGAACAGGACCAAAATGAACAGAAAAACCTGCCTGAGCTTTCTTAGATAACATCGGGAGAATCATAAAATTTTTCCTGCACAAAATTACCTAACTTGCATCATTTTCAGACATCGGCCTAGAACGGATTGACGAGGATTATTTTGTTCTCCACTGAAAAGTGTGCCTCTAGAGCAGGAAACGTCATCTGTTTGAAAAGAGCACTTTCTGGCAACAGTTTGGGAGCAAGAAGTAAAGATGTTTTCCTAGTTCTTTTGCAACCGCTGGACAGATTCTCAAGACCCGCAAGGGGGGACCCGAGAAAGTGAATGACTGCGAATCATCAATTCTTAACACGTTACCTGAAGGACAGCGCTCCTTCCCCACTGCAACACGGACCAAAGGGGGAACCCTCCTGCTGGTCCGTCGGTTCGCTAGTTCTCACACTGAGTGTGCATCAGAATCACCGGGAGGGCTTGCTTTTAAAACACGGAGGGCCGCATCCCACCCCGGAGCCCCGGGCCTCCTGCTGCTGCTTCTCCACCTCGGTCCGTTCTTTGTAGGCCTGCACTGCCTGGAGTGGGACATAAAATTCACCTGCCTTCTGCAGAGCCTGCAGAGGCTGACGTGTCCACCCAGGCAGGATTCTCCCTTGTGTAAGGCACCAAAATGCCAGTTGTCCCTCTAGAAGTCTTACCCACAGAAGGGAAACTAGAACATCTCCAGAGGAAAGTATTAGAAAAAGTTGCCCATCATCCTAGACCATGGACACCTTGAAAACAGTGTCCCCCTACTGAGCCTTTGTACAAAAGCCCCCAAAGGCCGTCCTCTCTCCTCATCCTCCGAGGCTCCTTGTCTCCTGAAGACTGTTTTCTGCACAATTTGCTTGCTTTCAAAACGCGATGTCGCTTTGGAGAAAACAGAGCAGCCCTTAAGGACGACAGACCACGCCTCCCGCTGCGAGCGGCCGTCCTCCCAGTTCGGCACCGGGCAGGCGCCTCTGTTCTTTAAATTCTCTCATTCCCACTCGGAAGGTTTGGCAGGTCGGAGTTGTCCTGGCTAGAAGGTTGCATAACGCTGCAGGGTCTCCCCCGATTTCAGAAACCCCCTGGTTTAGGACCACCCGGACCCAAGTCTGCCCTCCACGGGCGAAACACACGCCGCAGCCACTCACCGTGAAGTCGCTCCTGATGGCAAAGTTCTCGGGCTTGACGTCGCAGAGGTGCAGGCGGTGCGAGAAGTCGTGCTCGAAGTGGCGGACCATGTCCAGGAAGCTGAGCGCCACGCCGCTGAGCGCGCGCGCCTGGGCCCGGCCGCCGCGGGCCGCGCCTTCCAGGGGGAAGAGGGCCCGGAGGCGGGGGCTGCCCGCGGCCAGGTGCTCCACGGCGTAGAAGTGGCCGCAGGAGCCCAGCACGGGCGGCGCGTGCGGGCTGCGGCCCCGCAGCAGGCTGAGCAGGACGAACTCCTCCTGCTGCAGCAGCGCCCACAGGCTGGCCAGCTGACCCCGCAGCCGGGGCCCCCGCCGCCCCAGGCCCAGCCGCCCCAGGCCGCCCTCGGCCAGCTCCAGGCCCAGCGCGCTCTTGACCTCCCCGGCCGCCAGCAGGAGGAGCTCTGCCTCCGGGAAGCCTTGGCCGCCGGCCTCGGGCTGGCCTTCCAGGAGGCCGAACGGCGGGAAGCTGGAGAAGGCTTCCTCCTTGGACTTGAGGACCACGGGCCGGCCGCGCCAGTCAGCCTGCAGCACCTTCTTGCCCCGCTCGTAGTACAGGCAGCGCCGGTACCGTAGCTGCCCCGCCACGCACAGGTCCTCGCACAGGTCTCCGCCGAGCGCGCCGCCCCGGTAGTCCTGGCACTGGAAGGAAGGGGACAGTCGGTTACACCGCGGAGGGGCAGCGAATAGACACAAGGCTGGTCCCCGCACCCAGCACGCTCCTAACAGCTGTGCAGACCATCTTCACCAGAGTGAACCACGAGGCTACTCGGGTCAGAGAGGAATTATGAAGTCAAAGGTTTGAGAGCTTCCCTGCTGGCGCAGTGCTTAAGTGTCCGCCTGCCAACGCAGGGGACACGGGTTCGAGCCCTGGTCCGGGAAGATCCCACATGCCGCGGAGCAACTAAGCCCGTGCGCCACAACTACCAAGCCTGCACTCTAGAGTCCGCGAGCCACAACTACTGAAGCCCGTGAGCCGCAACTACTGAAGTCCGTGTGCCACAACTACTGAGCCCGCTTGCTGCAACTAGAGAAAGCCCGTGTGCAGCAATGAAGACCCAACGCACTCAAATTAAATAAACAAATACAAGTTTACAAAAAAAAAAAAAAAAGACTTGAAAGAGCGCCTCAAGTTTGTTCTCCATCAGGCCCAGGCCCAGGTCTTAGGAAGCAGGTCTCTGCCCTCCCCCACTTCCAGCTGAGGTGGGTGATGCTGGCAAAGGCCTTTGGCAGCTGCGTTCAGTTTCCTTGATTGTCAGCGAAAGGGCTGGGCCAGGCCCGTGGTTCCCAACTCTTGGCCTCACGTCAGGGTCACCCAGAGAGCTTTCAACCCCCGGTCAAGTACAGGTCAGCCAGACCTCGGGAGGTGGGTCCCCGGCGACCCCAGGAATGGCCCTTCCTCTAGAACCTTTCCTTGCACCCATTGTGGTCGCCAGGAAGTGGTATGGCTATAAGGCCAGCAGGCTCTGGGGGACTGCGGGGTCTGGAGAGCCCACTGCAGGAAACAGGAGGCAGGAGAGGCCTCGTGGCTGGCAGGGCAGGCACCGGGCGCCTGCGGAAGAAGAGCCCTGCAGGGTAAATTCCAGAAGCGGGGGGTGTTCGGTTCCTGGGGGTGGTGAGGAAGGCACTCAGGGACCCTGAAATGGGGAACTTCTCCTAAACGTCAGGCTCTTAGGCCCTCCTGCCACATGGGGGACCTGGTGACCCCACCACGACACTGCAAGCATCCGTGCTAAGAATACAGTCCAGCCAGGCCCTGCCCTTCAGACCTGCTAGAGGGGGAGCAGGAGATGCCAGTGTGAAACCGATTGAAAGGGAGGATTATTATTCTGTTCTCTTTCTTTTTTATCTCTTTCAGGAAACCTAAACCTCTGGACCCACGTTTATTAGGGGTTGAGCCTATTTCCTGACTCTACCTGTTTCCCCCCAGATGCATCTTCCTCCCACGTGGGCAAAGGCAGGTCAGGTATGTAATTATATGCTGGCCAGACTCTCTGGTGGTTCTGCGCTGCTCGGCTTTATTAACCCCAAGTAGGTTATATACAGCTCCTTCAGTCGGAAAATACACCTCCAATGCTTGGATATGTGAATAATCCCCAAATCCAAAAAGCTCTGAAAACCACAAGGTTTTCCATGACTCATTCACCCTCATGGAGTGGCAAATCCGACTGAAAAGATGAGAGCCTATTTATGGTCTGAATGTATTTGACCTGTGGCTTTGCATATACTTTGCTGCAGAGTTGTTCATCAGCTGGATTTGTCTGATTACTGGTGCTGCCTCACAGGCGAAATAGAAGGTATATATATATATATATATGCTGCACATTATCTAACACCCAAAACAGTGTGAATTCTGAAACAGGCCTGGCCACAGAGCATTGGATAAGGGATTGTGGATCTTTATAAGTACTCTCAGTGACTTGTTGAAAGCATATAACCAAAACGCTTATTAAAAAGATATACTGGGCTTCCCTGGTGGCGCAGTGGTTGAGAGTCCGCCTGCCGATGCAGGGGACGCGGGTTCGTGCCCTGGTCCGGGAAGATCCCACATGCCGCGGAGCGGCTGGGCCCGTGAGCCATGGCCGCTGAGCCTGCGCGTCTGGAGCCTGTGCTTCACAACGACAGAGGCCACGACAGTGAGAGGCCTGCGTACCGCAAAAAAAAAAAAAAAAAAGATATACTCCCTGTTCTTAAAACAAGTATCTGGAGTTCAGGGACCGTTTCAGGCAGTAACTGGACAACAGCCCAAAAGGACCAAGACAAGCCATCAGACCTGACCCCCAGCTTCCTGCTGAGGGGCTCCCACAAGCTGCTTCTCCTTTGCCGCGTTAGATCTCGGCACCGCGCCGTATTGGGTGGTGGGGATGTCACGCTTGCCAAACCCAAAGATGCACGCGATGGTCCCAATCCTGGAGTCTGGGAGTGCACCCTGTTTGCCTGGGGCTGGCTTTTTGTCTTTGGAAAACAGACAACCATAATGCAGCTGTATTGATAAACACCCATGAAACTGTTTTAAATACACTTGATGCTGTGTACATCTTGCAATTTAACTTAACACCATTTTGGTCAAATGCCATCCTTTTACTTTTCATCCTGGTACCTCTTTCCAAGGCGTGGGGTCATAAGAGGAGCATCAAAGGATCAGGACGCTCTGAGTGACTCTCTCTGCTTGGAATTGCTTCCATATCACGGTGCCTCGGAAGAGAGCATCAGCTGATTCTGGTTCCTCTGAGACCTTTCAGGGTAATCTTAGAGGTAAGGTGGGAATGCAAGGTTTAAATGATTGAGACTCCCAAGAGTAAAAAAAGGTGTGAGTGACGGAAGTAATGTGGGCTGTTCATTTTACTTGCTGCAGCTTTGTCCTATTTTATCTGGTATTTACAGAGTTTCACATCTCTGTAACAAGCCTGACAAGAAAAGGCAACATTTCTTTCTTTCTTTTTTTTTATAAATTTATTTATTTTTGGCTGTGTTGGGTCTTTGTTGCTGCGTGCCGGCTTTCTCTAGTTGCGGCGAATGGGGGCTACTCTTGGTGGCAGTGCACGGGCTTCTCATTGCAGTGGCTTCTCTTGCTGCGTAGCACGGGCTCTAGGCACGCGGGCTTCAGTGGTTGTGGCTCGCGGGCTGTAGAGCGCAGGCTCAGTAGTTGTGGCGCACGGGCTTAGTTGCTCCGTGACATGTGGGATCTTCCTGGACCAGGGCTCGAACCCGTGTCCCCTGCACTGGCAGGCGGATTCTTAACCACTGTGCCACCAGGGAAGCCCAACATTTATTTCTTGATTGCCTTATAAAGCCCCTAAGCCCTTTGAGTATATCCAAAATGGTTTAATTCAATTCCATAATCCTTTTTAGAGTGTCATCAAATTTGTAGTTTAATCAAAGGTGTTTTTGTATGAAGGACAGAACAGAACTGGAACAGAAAGAAAAGCAGATGACACAGTCGAGTTTGGAAGGAGGAGGTGGGCCCTGAGCTGTGAGCTTCAGAACCCTGCTGTGCTAGTCCGAGGGGAGAGGCATGGGGAGGGCGAGATAGGGGCATGGGCCCTGGCTGGGCCACTGCCCCAGAGTGGGGAGTGCCGAGGGTGTCAGCTGTGACTGCCCAGGGCCTTCACTCTCCTCATCTGGAACTGCGGCCGAAATTGTCACCGGCCGTGAGAGACACCTGTGGGCCCAGAAGCCCACTCCACACCCTGGGGGCGGGGAGTGGCCGTGGGCAAGCTGCCTCAGGCGCACCCAGCCACCTTCCAGCCAACAGTCCTGTGTGTGAGCTGAGCCACGATCCAGCTACAGGTGCCGGGCTCAGGCTCAGGCATCACAGAGCGAGGTGGCTGCCTTTCAGACTCCTCAAATGACAGGGGAGCGTAAGCAAGAGAGGTGCATGGCCAGGCTTGGCTTTGGGGCCAGCTGGGTTTGCCTCTGGGCTCAGCCTCTTGCTGGCCTGTGGCTTGTTTCCAAGTCTGTAACGTGGGATGATGACACTGTGTCGTGGGAGACCTGTAACGGTCAGCCAGGGTCATGGGTGCAGAGGACCTGGTGGTCTCTGGATTCTAGTTCCCTCCAGCCCTGGTCATTAGAAGGCAGGGGGCTGGGGAGGCTTCTTCCTGGAGAGATGCACCCGAGCTCAGTTTTGAAAGATGAATTGCGAGTCTGCCTGGTGGACCAGGAGGGAGAGGGCAGGGAATGACCTGCTGAGGAACCCACAGATGCGAAGTCGCTCGAGTGTTCAGAGAACCAGACAGTTCAGGGGAGCACAGGGCAGGGTTAGAGCAAGTGCCGTGCGTCAGGGACTGGGCGTCCTGCCAGAAACGCCACTTGCTCTGTCTCCACCTGACAGAATGCTGCCCGCTGCAAGGGTCGGACCCACCTTCCCTGGGAGGCCGCCCCACCTGCCAGTGGGAATTCTTGTCTCCTCTGCCCCAGGTTCCATTAAATAACCCCCGTGAGCCTCCGTACCATCCCCTGCCCCCGCTGGCTCCCCACAGCATGGTGTTTTCTACGAAACTGTACCGCGTCGATGAAATCGAATTCAAATCGAACCCATACGAGATTTGCCCCTGCAAATTTAGAAGGCAGTTCCAAACAGGGGTTGCAAGGAAATCTGGCATATAGTCTGCTGACTTTGGAGGGGAACGTTACCTTTGGCTGTTTTTCTGAAGGCCAGCATGTTCAGGTATAGGCATGCCTCCAGATGGCTGGCAGCTTGTAGGGAAGCTGCCGATCAGGAAGGGTGGGCAGTGGGGCTGGGCGCCCAGAGCCCTGCCGGGCCACCAGCTACTGGAGGTGTTGTCCTAGGTTTCTGACCTAACTTTCCGTGCCCCGGCTACCTCGTTTGTCACGGGAGATCGCAAGCGTAGTTAGTGCAGAGCTGTTCTTTGTCGTCACCCTTTGTGATGAGGCCTTTTTGGCACATCAGTCCCTGCTCTTCTGATACAGAATGTAAAACTCATCCACTGTGGCTCTTCTGGTTACCAGATTTCCAGTGAGTTCTGTAGGATCTTTTCGTATGCCTGTGCTTGCTAAACTCAGAGAAAGACTTGGCTCGGCTTTTAAAAACCAGTAAATTTACAGATTACAAGTTTACAAGCTAGTCAAGCAGTGTCATCGTGTTAGAGACAAGAGTGAAATTATCTTATTAGCAGCATGTCCTATTGAGGTAGCTAATTTTTTTAAACTCAATAGAAGTAATGTACTTTTAACTCCATTTTTAAAAAAATCACTTTCCTCTGGATATGAGGAGGCCCTGACTGCCATCTTGAACAGGTACATTTCTGTACCCAAATGTGTGTGCATACAAAATCCACAGGTATCAGATTTTAAGATAAGCTGGGAAAAAAACCAAGTTAATAAAGTCTCATTATAGTTAACTGGCATTTTTTAAAAATTAATGAAACTCACAGCGAATTCATGTTTCTTATAGGTTGTGTGCAAACGCACACTCCCAGCAGCCCCAGTTCTTGTAGAAAGCGTTCTCAGTGGTGGTTACTTAGAACCTCCCTCTCTGGCTTGTATCTCGGTTCTCAGGCAAAAACAAAACCTGTCCTCTCTAGTCTGGGAAACCGGTGACAGGGTCTCAGAGGTCATGCCCAAGGGCTGGGTTTTCTTTTGTGTGTTTGTTTTTGTTTTTAAGGAGAATTAAGTTCCTATGCGGTTAGCAGCCCTCATATCTCACGATGGAATTCCTTCATGGAGCAGTTACGCTGTGCGTTGCAGAACCTCAGAGCAATTAGCCGGGCCACTCTGCAAGCCTTCTCGACCCCTGGACAGCTTAGAAGATAGAGATTACAAACGTGGCCAAATCACTCAGGAAAGCAGAGTCATTCCCTGCTATAAAATCTCTCTGGGTATGTGCCCTGGATGCTGTAGTCCCACTGGGACCTTGGGTTTCTATCAGAGCAAAGAAAGATAAGCCTGCCCTGTTAAAAAGAAATCCCAGATGTAGGCAACCAAGTTAAGTCACGTCAAGACCTAACCACCCGGAAGGGACTTAAACCTTCTGAATAACAGAGAGTCTGTGGGAATCTTTTTGAGATGCTTTGAAAGTGATGTGCTATGGCAGGGTTAAGTATGCCCAGTTGTTAGTTACTTGTGGTTTTCAGTATTGGAGGAGCCAGTTCTGTCACGGGATCTCTACTATCAGAGTCACATCCTGGCTCCACGACACAGTAACCGTGTGAATCGGGACAAGTTACTTCACCTCTCTGGGGCTCGGTTTCGCCATCTGTGAAATGGGAGGAGTAAAAGTACGTACCCCGCAGAGGCTGAGATTAAATGAATTAATACGTGTAAAACTACTTAGCACAGAGCCTGCCCCGAGTGAGCCTCAGCGGGCACCCGCAGCATACGTCCCTGCCGCCCTGGGAGGCGCTCTGCCTGCAGAACCGGAAGCCGGGCCTGTGAACGGTCAGACCCAATGCTAGTCAGCCTGGCACAGCCTGCTGACACGGTTCCCTGGGAAAGTGGGGCTCTGGAAACCTCACAGAGATGTCTTGATTACGGGGTGAGCTGAAAAGCCGCAGGAAAAAGGAGGGCTGCCGTCTGCCCAGAAAATTCTGAAGCTGGAAGACCTGGGCTCGACTCTGGAACCAATCCAGTTGGCTCTTCCAACACTCTCTCTTGAGACTGGAGTGTGCTGGGCCCCCTCCGGAGGTGGGGTGAGGCTCGGGGGGGCCCCAGCGCCCATGACTCCCCGCTCCTAACCAGCCCCTCAGCTTCATCCTCAGATTCTCCACCTGCCTGGCGTGAGGGCCCGGGAACGTGCTCAGAGGTTCACAACTCCCTTGGCTTTGCCCAAGGGAAAGGGGTTCCCTCTGGCTCAGCTGTGGCTATTCCTTTGGTGCTCTGGGATTCAGGGTGAAAGCTAATGAGAGTCTGGAGGCCAGTCAGAAAAATAACAGCCAGTTTTATTATTAAGGATAAAAGCCAGGCAGAATGAATTGAAAGGACCGGCGGAGCTGAGAGACAGAGGCTCGATTCAGTCCTGGGAGGCCACAGTGCCACAATGCCAGCCTCTGCGTGGCCGCCAGGGCCCGGCAGAGTCTAGGATGTGGAGACTGGGGTCCTATTCAAACCTCAGTCTAGTTCACAGTGTCCTGGGTGAAAGGGAGCCACGGTGCTGTGTGGGGTTCCCGCCAGCAAATCCAGAACGGAGAGGGTAGAAAGGGAAAGTCAGGTCCTGAGCAGAGCGTGAGAAATGGCGGCCTCAAAGGGGGCCTCCAAATGATGCTCCCCACAAAATCAGATCATTGAGAACCGGTCAGGTGAACTTCAGGCAGACAGACAGACATGGTATTTCAGATTGTTCTTTTGGCAACAGAAAAGATTGGCTGCCACAGGAGGTATGTTGGTTCAGCCTCCAAACAGAATTGGTTTTAATTTATGAGCTGGAATGCCGGGAAAGTTATGATGAGCAATGACTTAAGTTATACTAGGCTATTTAATTTCCATTAGGCCTTCTCTCACTTAACCAAAGGTAAAGAAATGAAAAAATAGTGTTTGTTTTTTATTTTAATCTAAAAGACTATTATATTATTTTTGGTACATGGATAGTCATCCTGGCCAAGCTATTCATTTTATACTATAATTAGTCAATCAGTCTCCCCAAAACAGAGGGAAAAAAGTCTTTATCAGTGAAAGGAATTTTTAGAGGAGTTATTGAGGAAAATCAATGAGCTCTTGTAACTTAAAAAAAAACTTGATAGAACGTCAGTGTAACAATGAACAGATAAATGGATAGATTATTGATAGATAGGATGGAGGGAATCGATGTGTATCTCACCAACGTTATGATCAATTCATGAGGACACGTCAGACTCAATTAGGGAAAATGATTTGGTCTAGCTTGTCCATTTCACCTCATTCCTTTAGTTTTTCCAATCTCACTTAAAAAAAAATCATTTACTTGAAAGCCTTTATGCTACCACGTTTTGAAAACCTACAATCTCAGAAGGCTCACCCAGATGTAAGCAGTTGGACTGAAAACTTCCCATGAGTTTCTTGAAGATCTCTTAGAAAATAGATCATTTTTCATATCACATACTGAGATGGTCAGTATTTTAGGAAGTGAATAATCACTCAATCAATGTAACAATAGTTGCCGTTACCTTCACCTTGGCCTTCCTTTTAGGGATTCCTGCCTTTATCCAAGTCTCCTGATGCGCCTCATCTTCCGAACCAAACAGAGAGACCAAAGAGCAGCCGGCGTTCGGAATCAACTAATGCGCCTCTGGGGCCCAGAGCGCGCAGCAGCAGCCTGCAAGCCCAGGCGTTTCTTTCTCTCCCTAATTGCCGGGCTCAGCTATGGAGCCCCCAGGCCCTCCCCTGTCCGGAGACCCCGCTCGGACCCCAGGGTCCGACCGCCTCCCTCGCGCTCCGCTCGCCTGAACGCGCTCTGTCTTGGGTCCCGCAGACCGCGCCGGGGAGAGCCGCGGCTCTGGGGCGCAGCGAGGCGGGGGCCCTACGAGCCGTCTGCATGGGGCTCGGCGAGGTGCAGCCCAGGCTGGACTCGCCGAACAGCGGCTGAGCTTCCGAACGGCGAGTCCAGGGGCAGGGGCGTGGTCTCCCCGACCCGAGCCCTCAGCGGCCCGCGCCCCGAGCCCCGCTGTCCGAGTCGGGAGACTGGGAACAGACCCGAACTCTTGCTTTAGGAGGGCGGGCTGGGGGCGGCGGGAGAGCAGTCGGGCAGGAAGACTCTCTTGGGACAAAGGACCAATTTGGGCGAAACGGGGGGAGACATCCCCGTCCGCGCACGGAGGACTCCCAGGATGGAGACCGCATCCCACGCACCGTGTCCAGGCCCCCTCCCCTCGGTCCACGGCCGTGCCCAAGTCCCCGGCTCCCGGGGCCCGCGGAGGGTGTCCCAGCCCTGCCCCCGGGGCGCGCGGCGCGGGGCAGTGCGGCGGCGGCGGCGGCACCTACCAGCGCGGCCAGGATGCGCCGGCTCTTCTCGTCGGTGCAGCGCTCGGAGAGGACGCCCGGGTGCGCGCGGAGCAGCAGCGCGGCCGCCAGCACCCAACCCGCGGTCCACGCGACGCAGACCAGCAGCGCGCCCCGCCCGCACCACCCGGGCCAGCCCCGCGAGCCCGCCGCCCGCGCCCGCGCCATGGCCCACCC